AGGTGGCACCACTGCACAGCTAGAAGTAGAAAAAGTAAAAATGAATCAACCGAGAAAAAAATGAGATTGTAAGTTATTCAGAAAATTCCTGTACTAAGTGAATTCGTTTTCTTATTTCCATTTTCTTCCTTTAATTTGACTGGAAAATATAATTGCTGCATGACAAATGTACTTTATCTGTTTTGTTGAGCACTAGCAAAATCCCTTTATGTTTAACTTCAATATAACTTTTCCACACTATTTTCTGACACAGAGTAAAATAAACACATTCCATTAATATATACCATAGATATAACTGCTATCTAAAGTGTAATCCACTCCTCCCCAAAGCAAAGATGAGGAAGAGGTTGAAGGACACCTTCATTCATGCATTCCATCTTCCCATTGAAAACTGAAACAAGATATTTTTACAACTCTCAGAACAGATGCAAAAGCATCCCATTGTATTATTTCAATCCTTTCATCATTAAAATGAAAGGCACTTTAGAAAAATGAGAGGCATAATTAAAAATAAAGACACAAAGAAAATATCACAATGTCTCCAACAGATTTTTTTTTCAGTAAATACTTGGTCAGATACCTTGTGAATTCAACCTTTTTTAAAAAGTTATACAATATTCTGAAGAACAAAGACATTCATAAAACAATCATGATTTATTTTGATACCCATAAAAGCACATGAAATTTGACATAAATACTTTTGAAAATGTAGTAATTGCTATTACAACCTGGGTTTCAATTCTGAGGCATTTTGTGAGCTGATGCTTAATCGTAATTCCTAATTAACTGGTGGAAAGAACGATAATTCAATTTTGCTAGCTTGTGTGAGGAGTGGAATTATTTCAAGACCTTTAGAGAGTATAGACATTCTTTATCCTCTCATTAAGAGAAATGTATGTGGTTTCATATTCTTTTTGAGACAGATTGTGGAGGTAGAGGAAAGACTCTGGAAAGTGTCAGACATGTAAAGGAATTGAGAAAGGAAGGACAATGACCTGAGGGTTGGTAGATAACTGCAACCATGATGTGGATGTGATGAAATAAATGGATAAAGTGATCCTTAAAAGAGGAGATATTGCTGAGTGATGGTGGCTGAGGGAGGGATAGACATGGCCAAGTAATCCAGCACCCTAACATTTAAGGAAAAGAGGATGCTGGATTCTGTAATCACCATTTCTCATTCTGGGGTCAGCCTGGGCATCACTAAATCTCTATAAGTCACAGACTTTTAATTGTGTGAGATAAAAAGATACTTGTAGCACCTACCAGATGAGGTTGTTGTAAGGGGTTAGCAAGATAATAGTTGTAAAGTGTTTTGTACAGGGAAGACCTATGTCTACCTCCAATATACAAAAATATTGAAATATTCCCCTGAGTTGTACAGATGTGAAGCCCAGGACAGAATTGAGGATTTTGAGTTCTAAATTTTTTATCCTTCCCTCCCTTCCCACCTCCCCAAGATGGCATGCAATCTGATATAGGCTATACATGTTAATATTAAACATATTTCCACATTAGTCATGTTGTGAAAGAGGAGTCAGAACAAAAGGGAAAAACGAGAAAGAAAACAACAACAACAAAAAAGAAAAATAGTATGCTTCGATCTGCATTCAAACTCCATAGTTCTTTCTCAGGATGTGGATGGCATTTTCCATCATGAGTCTTTTGGAATTGTCTTAGATCATTGTAATGCTGAGAAGAGCTAGGTCTATCAAAGTTGGTCATCATACAATGTTGCTGTTACTGTGCACAGTGTTTTCCTGGTTCTGCTCACTTCACTCAGCATTAGTTCATGTAAGTCTTTCCAGGTTTTCTGAAATCCACGTGCTCATCATTTCTTATGGAACAATAGTATTCTATAACATTCATATACCACAACTTGTTCAATCATCCCTCAATTTATGGGCATCCCCTCAATTTCCAATTCTTTGTCACCACAAAAAAAGCTGCTATAAATATTTTTGTACATGTGAGTTCTTTTCCCTTTTTTTGTGATCTTTTTGGGATACAGACCTAGAAGTGGTATTGCTGGATCAAAGGGTATGCAGTTTTATAGCCCTTTGGGCATAGTTCCAAATTGCTCTCCAGAATGGTTAGATCAGTTTACAACTCCACAAACAATGCATTAATACTCCAATTTTCCAATATCTTCTCCAACATTTATCATTTTACTTTCTTTTGTCATATTAGCCAATATGTTAGGTGGGAGTTGGTTTTAATTTGCATTTCTCTAATAAGTAGTGATTTAGAGCTTTTTTTCATATCACCGTAGATAGCTTTAATTTCCTCATCTGAAAACTGCATGTTCATATCCTTTGACCATTTATCAATTGGGGAATGATTTGTCTTCTTATAAATTTGACTCAGTCCTCTATATAGTTTAGATATGAAGCCTTCATCAGAGATACTGGCTATAAAAATTATTTCCCAACTTTCTGCTTCCCTTCTAATTTTGGTTGCACTGACTTTCTGCAAAACCTTTTTTAATTTAATGTAATCAAAATTATCTATTTTGCATTTCATAATGTTCTCTATCTCTTGCTTGGTCATAAATTCTTCCCTTCTTCATAGATCTGAGCAAGATAAACTATTCCTTGTGAAAGACCCCAATGTTCGGGTAGTCCACCGACCTTGAGAAACCCTCCCAGGATCAACGCGAACACAACTCCGGATGCAAATAGCAAGAGGTTTATTGAACTTACGAGTACTCGGGCGACTCAGTCACCTAGAGGGACTGGCGCGCCGGGTGGATTCTTTGGTCTCATTTTATAGCAAAAAAGCGCGGGTACAGAAGCGAGGAGCAAGATCATTGGTTAGTTTGAATAAAAACTCCGGTCACGAGAGGGTTCTAGAAACTGCTGAGGGGCACCCTAGAAACTGTTATGAGCTCAGCTATTTCTGGGAATTGTTTGCATAAGTCCGGGGTGGGGACTCAGGTGCATGACCACAGATATTCTGTTTGGCACTCCAAATCTTCCTTGTTTTTCTTGCTCTGACCTTTTACTGTGTCTGGCTGCACCTGTCCCTAAACCTTGGGCCCTCCGGGTAGTTTCCATACTCCACGGAATGATTTCTGCCTCATGATTTCTGCCTCCTTCATTCCCCCATTTTCTTTGAGGGTAGCTCTAATCATAGAGCAGAATTAAGGTTATCCTCGTTGTCTAGGGTCTGGTACTTGTGCCTGAGAACCAGAATCCTTACTGCACTAACCCTATCATTGATGAATTGCACTAACTTATTGATGACACAAGGCCCGAGGGTGAGTAACAGAAGGAGGAGTAGCAGGGGACCAGCAAGGGCAGACAGTAAAGTAGTAAGCCAGGGGGAACGGTTGAACCATCCCTCGTACCAACTTAAATTCTTTTGGTGCTCTAACTGCCTCTTATCTAACCTTTCCTTGAGTCTCCTCATGGAGTCTCGCACCGCGCCTGAGTGGTCAACATAGAAACAGCATTCCTCTTTTAGGGCTGCACAAAGGCCCCCTTCCTTCAAAAATAGCAGATCAAGGCCTCTCCTATTCTGGAGCACTACTTCAGACAGGGAGGTTAAGGAATCCTCTAGTTTACTTATGGAGTCTTGAAGGGCCCTAAGGTCTGTATCCATGGCAATCTGGAGGCTAGTCAAACCTTGTTGGAGGTCTATGGGCCCTTTTATTAGGGCGGTCGAGCCGGTACCTATACCTGCTGCGACCCCTAATCCGAGAAGGACAGCCAGGGTGAGTGAGACAGGCTCTCTCTTGTTTCTAGGGTGGGGGACTCATAGGCCTGTAGCAAGGTACCGTCTGGGTGATAGTAGATGCGAGGGACAAGCTGGATCTGGATACAGAAATCGTTAGACTGGTTGAAGACTGATGTAGAGAGGCAGGGGGTGAGGCCAGAATTACAAGCCCACCAGCTGTGGTTGGAGGGGAGGAGGTACTTGTGAGTATGTGAGGCGTTTAAGGGTATAGTCAGGTTGCAGAGATGTTGGTGAGTAGGAGGTACTTTCCCTATACATAACCCGAGTCCAGAGACTTCAGTGAGGGTGAGCTTCCCTTTTCCTCCCCAGCGACATTGGGAATCTGTGGAGGCATAAGTGACTTGCCCTGGAGTTGCGATTCCTTCGTAATAAGGGGGCCGAGGGCTAGACAGAGCCAGCAAGACTCCGTGGCCTCCGGGTTGGTGGCATTCAAGGCCAGAAAGGCCCCTTGTACGAGGCCAAAGAGCCGGTCGCCCGTGGTGGGAGATGGAGTACTAGGGGCCGGGGGGCTAGCCTGTACCGTGGGGATAGGGGACGCTGGGGGTGATAGGGTAGGAACCGGCACTCTGGGGAGGAAGGGAATTTTTCTGGGAGGTCCTTGTTCTGCGAGGACAGGATCGGGGCCCACTACTACCGGTGGGGGACTTGTGATCACTAGTCGTATGGTCAACTGCACGCCTGGGTGTCCAGTCACATAGAACCTTAGACCCCAGGTTCGCCCCTGTAGCCAGTTTCGGAACCGTTTGCCAGGCTCGGTGAACTCTATCTTGAGTGGGTTGCACCAACCGGTGCGCTCGCATGTCCCTGTAGGGTGACCCTGGCCTACAGTTATAAGGTCCCACGAGGACCGGGGTTGCCAGTAGGCGGTTCCCGCGGTCTCACAACCCCACTCTTTACAGTACAAAGATTCAAGTCCTCCGCACCTCCGGGCCTCGGACAGGGAACGGCCATCCCGGGGGCACACGTAGAACTGGGACCTAGCAATTCTTGTTCTGGCCCGGGGATAGCTACATCCCAGGGTTCCCCAAGTGATCTGATTATAAGCATGTTCATAGTTTGAATCAGGGGGCCTGGCCTGTTGAGAGGCCGATGCAGTGAGTTCCGGGATGTCCCAGGACTCGAGACCGGCTACCAGCGCACACACATCAGGCTCAAGAGAGGGCCACCACGTCCAGGGTGGCTCGACTGCTTTCTTTTCCCAAACGACACTTCCCGTCTGGGACAGTACCTGCCAGGTGAGAGTCATGGGTTGGTGAGGGTTGTTATGCTGTTGATTCATTTCGGCGCCGCCGAACACGCAACTTAAGAGGATGATCAGTCTTTTCCAGTTCCCAGGACTCATCGGGTGCCCCAGGTGGCGCGGGTTTGAGATGAGAAGCATGGACCCAGGCAGCAATACCGTCAACCTTCACCGCGGTCGGGGTGGTCAGTAGCACCAGGTATGGGCCTTTCCACCGAGGCTCAAGGCTGCCGGACCGATGACGTCTAACCAGCACTCGGTCACCGACCTGGAACGGGTGGGGAATGGCCACAGTACCAGGCCTGTAGGCTTCTTTTATCTGGTCCCAGATCTGAGTCCTCACAACCTCTAAAGCCTTCAAGTGGGTAAATAGAACGGGAAAAAAATCACCATTAGAACCCACGACTTCCCCAGACGCAAGTACAGGGGGCGGCCCCCCATGAAGAATCTCATAAGGAGTCAGGCCAAACTGGCCAGGGGTATTCCGGGCCCTAAGTAGCGCCAAAGGGAGGAGGGTCACCCAGTCTTTTCCACCGGTCTCTAAGGCCAATTTTGTCAAGGTCTCTTTAATTGTCCTATTCATCCTTTCTACCTGACCTGAGCTCTGGGGTCTATATGCACAATGTAATTTCCAATTAATCCCCAGTTGAGTGGCCAACCCCTGGCTTACCTGAGCAACGAAGGCAGGGCCATTGTCGGACCCGAGTACCTTAGGGATCCCGAAACGAGGTAGGATTTCCTCAAGTATCTTCTTGCAGACGGTCAGGGCTGTCTCTGTTTTTGTAGGGAAAGCTTCTACCCACCCAGAAAATGTATCGATAAACACTAGCAAATATCTATTACCATACCGGCCAGGCTTAACCTCTGTGAAGTCTACTTCCCAATACACGCCGGGTCGATCTCCCCTTTGCCTCCTTCCAGACTCTCGGTAGGTGGTGACTGCGTTAGTTACAGCACAAACCTGACACTTGCTGGTGATTTCACGCACTACAGACTGGAGATTCGGGATGTGAAAACTGGTGCGACCTACAAGCTGGAGAAGCTTGTCTGGCCCTAAGTGCGTGAGCTGATGCAGCCGTTGAATGAATTCCCTTCCCTGGTCAGGGGTGAGCTCTCTCGGCTTGATCTTCCCCCGTGTAGGCTCGAAGTGTTCTTGATTTTTCGTGGTCTCCGTCAGTATTCTGGTTGACTGGGCAGCTTGTTTCGCGGCCTCATCGGCCTTTCGGTTTCCGGTAGCCACAGGGTCAGTCCCTCTTTGGTGGCCGGGGCAATGGATGATAGCGACTCGCTTAGGGAGATGGATGGCCTCTAGCAGGGCCAAAATCTCCTCTTTGTTCTTGATGTCTTTTCCAGCGGAAGTGAGCAGTCCTCTTTGTTTGTATATAGCCCCGTGAACATGAGCGGTGGCAAAAGCGTACCTGCTGTCCGTGTAGATGTTGATGCTTTTTCCTTCGGCCAAGCGTAATGCTTGTGTCAAGGCGATTAGTTCGGCCTTCTGAGCTGACGTTCCCTCTGGCAGGTTGCTCGCCCACACCGTCCGCTTGTTGTCCACAATGGCAGCACCTGCTTGTCGCCTGCCATCCATGATGAAACTGCTGCCATCCGTATACCAAGCGGGTACCCCGGGCAACGGCTGATCTCTCAGATCAGGTCGGGTTCCTGTCTCCTCGGCAAGGATTTCTGAGCATATGTGTATTGGGGTGTCGTCTGACTCTACGGGGAGCAGGGTGGCAGGATTCAGAATGGCCGGGGGCGCAAAAGACACCCTCTCATTCAGCAGCAGACTTTGGTAATGGGTCATCCTGGCATTTGTCATCCATCGGTCGGGGGGCTGTCTCACAATACTTTCCAGGTTGTGAGGTGCAATCACCAACACGTTCTGTCCTAGGGTTAACTTATCAGCGTCCTTGAGAAGGAGTGCTACGGCCGCAATTGCTTTTAGGCAAGTTGGCCACCCACTGGCCACCGGATCTAATTTTTTTGACAGGTAAGCTACCGGGCGTCGCCATGGTCCTAGGGTTTGAGTAAGCACCCCCCGGGCAACACCCTCTTTTTCATCCACGTACAGAGCAAATGGCTTGGTGAGGTCCGGAAGGGCCAGGGCGGGGGCCGATAGCAGGGCCTCTTTTATACGGCCAAAGGCTTCCTGGTGGGCCTCAGTCCAGGTAAAGGGAACCTTTTCTCTCGTCAGGGGGTACAGGGGTGCAGCCAGGGAAGCGAAACCAGGGATCCAGAGCCTACAGAATCCAGCAGTGCCCAAAAACTCACGGACTTGTCTGGGGGTTGTAGGGGTGGGGATCTTCATTACAGTGGCCTTTCGGGCTGGGGTCAGCCATCTCTTCCCCCCTTTTAGCAAATACCCGAGATACGTAACTTCCTCCCGGCAAAGCTGGGCCTTTTTGGCCGACACTCGGTATCCCAACTTACTTAGTTCCTGTAAGAGCCTTCGTGTCCCTTCTTTGCAGTCTCGGTACGTTGGGGCCGCTACCAGGAGGTCATCAACATATTGGAGCATCACTACCTGGGGGTTGAGAGCCCTGAAGGATGCCAGATCCCGGTGGAGGGCCTCATCGAAGAGGGTGGGAGAGTTCTTGAATCCTTGCGGTAGCCGAGTCCAGGTTAGCTGGCCAGTATTGCCTTTTTCTGGATCTCTCCATTCAAACGCGAACAATGGCTGGCTGTTGGGGTGTAGCTTGAGGCAAAAGAAAGCATCTTTGAGGTCTAAAACTGAATACCAGGTGTGGCTGGGCGGGAGGGAACTGAGTAGGTTATAGGGGTTCGGGACTGTGGGATGAATGTCCTGTACTCTTTTGTTGACCTCCCTCAAATCTTGGACTGGCCGATAGTCATTGGTTCCAGGTTTTTTTACAGGTAACAAAGGGGTGTTCCAGGGCGACTGGCAAGGTACCAGAATCCCCAAATCCAAGAATCTTTGGATGTGGGGCCTGATACCCTCCCGGGCTTCCTTGCTCATTGGGTACTGTCGAACAGCCACTGGTGAGGCATCTGACTTCAGTTCCACTACCACTGGTGGGACTTGATTGGCCAGTCCCATACCTGCCTTCTCGGCCCAAACCATGGGAAAGAGTTGGAGCCATGACGGGTCGATAGAAGGAGGGACCGGCTTTTCGTGTAATCGGTATTCCTCCTCCAAGTTCAGGACTAAACACATGGCGGGGCGGTCTTCCCATGTTACCTGTGGGCCCTCTGTGGAAAACTGGATTTGAGCTTTTAGCTTGGTGAGGAGGTCCCTGCCTAACAGGGGAGCAGGGCATTCGGGTATGACCAAGAATGAGTGGGTCACTTGCTTTTGTCCAATTTTCAAAAGTCTCTTGGTGGTCCAAGGGTAAACTTTGCTGCCCGTCGCCCCAGCCACGACTGTCCGTTTGGGTCCCATCTTTCCCATAGGCTTGGTCAATACTGAATGTTCGGCCCCGGTATCAACCAAAAACTCAGTGGGGATCCCCTCCACAGTTAACGTTACCCTGGGCTCGGGGAGGGGGTCCGAACCCCGACTCCCCTAGTCACCCAGGGTCAGGACATTGGTTTCCCTGGCGTTCTTCTTCCGGGGGCACTCCCTTGCCCAATGGCCCCTTTCTTTACAGTATGCGCACTGATCTTTGTCCAGAGGCGGTCTTCCTTCCCTAGGTGCCCTCATTGCCCTGTTGCTCAGATTCCCTGCCTGTCTCCCTCTGGACCCTTTCTCACTTACTACCGCGGCCAAGATTTTGGTCAAGTTTTTCTCCTGGCGCCTGTCACGCCGTCTCTCTCTTTCCTCTGTCTCCTTTTTCTCTCTTTCTTGCTTTTCTTCCTCTGTCTCTCTCTTATGATATACCTTCTCTGCCTCCTTTATGAGATCCTGCAAGGAATGGTCCTGGAGTCCTTCCAGTCTTTGTAATTTCTTTTTAATATCCGGGGCAGACTGTCCGATAAAGGACATGGCCACCGCCGCCTTTTGTCCCTCAGAAGAGGGATCAAATGGGGTATATCTCCTATAAGCCTCCATTAGACGTTCTAGAAAAACGGACGGGGGTTCTGTTGGTCCCTGCAAGACTTCTCTTACCTTGGCCAAATTGGTGGGGCGCCTTGCTGCCCCTTTGAGACCCGCCACTAGAGTCCGGCGGTAGACCAGGAGACGCTCCCTACCTTCAGCCGTGTTGTGATCCCACTGAGGTCGATTAAGGGGGAAGGCCTCATTAATGAGGTTCTCGAGTTGTGTAGGGGCCCCGTTAACTCCAAGGACGTTCTTGCGAGCCTCCAAAAGAATCCTTTCTCTTTCCTCGGTGGTAAAGAGGACTTGCAGGAGCTGCTGGCAATCGTCCCAAGTAGGCTGGTGGGAAAACATGAGGGACTCAAGGAGTCCCGTGAGTCCTGTAGGATTCTCGGAAAAAGAAGGATGATTAGATTTCCAATTATAGAGATCTGCTGAGGAGAAAGGCCAATATTGCAAGGGGACTAAGCCGTTTGGTTCGGCCGGGGGTCCCACGGCCCGGAGGGGCAGGGCCACAGTGGAGTCAGGACCAGTGTCACCCGTAGGACTGCGGGGACGGCGACTCCTAGTTCCAGCGGCCGGTCCCTCAGAGCCGAGTCCCTCAGCCATTAGGCCTGGCGCTGGTCTGGCCGCGTGAGGGGCTGGGGGAGGTGGAGGGGACGTTGGATAGGGCGGGGGTTCTGAGAGGAGGAACAGGCTGTCCGTCTCCGGGTAGATGGGGAGCCGGGAAGGAGCGGACGGCCTCCCCCCCGCCGACTTTCGCCCGTTATCTTGACCAGAGGCAACGGCGATCTTGGCTAAGGGTGGCACCCATGGGGGGGGGGCTGTTGGAGAGGTCCTGCCAAACTATGATGTAGGGAACCTGGTCCGGGTGTCCTCCAGTCTCCTGGAAGACAATCCTTTTGACTGCAGAAATAATAGAAGGATTAAAAGTCCCCTCCGGTGGCCATCCCACTTCGAACGTGGGCCACTCGGAGGAACAGAAGGTTTGCCACTTTCCCTTTCTTATCTCCACGGAAAGATTGTGAGCCCTTGTCTTCACGTCTTTCCAGTGATCTAGTGTAAGAGAGAGAGGGGTCGACTCACCCTGTCCCATTCTGGGGGTCCCGAAGAGTGGAATTACGACCCAGATAATGATTATTATTGAAATAAAAAGGAAAAAAATTATATGGCGGCGTAGACGTATATTAAAAAGACAGGAAAAAGAGTCAGAAGGTAGGGTATGTCTCTCAAGATAGTGCAACTGTGAGATCAGAAGAGAATTATCCCTTGCCGTGGGGTCCACCAGGCGTCCCTGGTCCTCCCCTGATCCTGGGACGTCTCCCAGGATTGCCGGGCGGTGAGCCCCCGAACACGTCTGTCCGCTACTCACGCCTCGATCTTAGATCGATTAACCCGGAATAAACTGAAACCAAAAATGCGCGCACACCGAATAGACAGTCAGAGTTTTCGGAGTCAGACACAGAGAGAACATAGAGCGATCGCTGGCCAGCTTACCTCCCGTCGGTGGTTCGGCGGTCCTTGGGTGGGAATCTCAGATCCCGGACGAGCCCCCAAATGAAAGACCCCAATGTTCGGGTAGTCCACCGACCTTGAGAAACCCTCCCAGGATCAACGCGAACACAACTCCGGATGCAAATAGCAAGAGGTTTATTGAACTTACGAGTACTCGGGCGACTCAGTCACCTAGAGGGACTGGCGCGCCGGGTGGATTCTTTGGTCTCATTTTATAGCAAAAAAGCGCGGGTACAGAAGCGAGGAGCAAGATCATTGGTTAGTTTGAATAAAAACTCCGGTCACGAGAGGGTTCTAGAAACTGCTGAGGGGCACCCTAGAAACTGTTATGAGCTCAGCTATTTCTGGGAATTGTTTGCATAAGTCCGGGGTGGGGACTCAGGTGCATGACCACAGATATTCTGTTTGGCACTCCAAATCTTCCTTGTTTTTCTTGCTCTGACCTTTTACTGTGTCTGGCTGCACCTGTCCCTAAACCTTGGGCCCTCCGGGTAGTTTCCATACTCCACGGAATGATTTCTGCCTCATGATTTCTGCCTCCTTCACTTGCTCTCGTAATTTGCTTATGACATCACCCTTTATGTCTAAATCATGTACCCATTTTGACCTTATCTTGTCTGTGCCTAGTTTCTGCCATATTATTTTCCAGTTTTCCCAGGAGCTTTTGTCAAATAGTCAGTTTTTATCCCAGAAGCTGGAGTCTTTGTGTTTATCAAATGGTAGACTACAGTCATTGACTACTGTGTCTTTGTATACCTAACTTACTCCACTGATTCACCACTTTATTTCTTAGGCAGTGCCAAATAGTTTTGATGATTGTTGCTTTCTAATATGGTTTTAGATATGGTATAGCTAGGCCACCTTCCCTTCAAAAAAGCATTTATTAATGGCCTGCTGTGTGCCAGGTTCTGTGCTAAGTGCTAGGGATTTGAAAACAAAAATGAAACGGTCCTTGTCCTCAAGGACCTTTCATTCTATCAAGAAAGACAACATATATGTATTAAAGTTTAAAGAAGGTAAATATAAAGTAATTTGGGGAGGGAGGGTAGGAAGCAAAACAATCCTGAAATGTATAATATCAACAAAGAGCTTTTAAGAAATCCAGCTACATGCAAGAATCTGTGCTAAATATAAAGGATAAAATAAGGAATAAGACATAGCAAATGCCCTCATTGTGGTATCATGTAATTTAGAACTGGAAAAGATCTTAGAGATCATCTAGTCTATTATACTCATTTTACAGATGAGAAAACAGAGGTCCAGAAAATGACTTGCTCAAAGTCATGCAGCTACATAGATCAATAAGGTAATACAAGGAAATTTAAGGAGGAAGAGAGCATTAACAATTATGGGAATCAGAAAAGAAAATATCAAATCCATCATGAATCTGTATGCCATCAGGACAAATTATTCTGGTCTGAAGTGCTCAGGGAAGAAACAATGGAGGAAGTCTCTGGACTTAAAGGTGCCGTTAGGTGTTTTATTTTTACAAGAGGTGAGAATTTAGGTGAAGCATTGATGGTCATTTTAAGGCCATAGAATAAGATGCTAAAAATTAAATGAAACTCTCACATAGTCCATCAAGCAGTTCTGTTCCCTTAAATCCAAAACTTCCATTAAGGCTCCGGACCTTTGTTAAAGAAGGACATTATTGGCAGGTTAAAAGCAAGGAAGATTTCTGTACCAACTGTGTAAAAGAAAGAAAAAATGTATATAATATACATTATCCCCAATAAATGAGAAAAGTTTGGGCAAATCATAAAAGTCATGGTTAGAGCTGGAAGGGTATTCAGAGGCCACGTAATCCAAAACATTCATTTTATAGATGAGGAAACTGAAACCGAGGGACATTAGGTTGACTTTTCCAAGTTCACAAGAAGTTGTAAACATCAGAGATGTGTTTTGATCCAGATCTTCATGGCTGATTTTTTTTCCTTTTTTTCAATCTTTTACTCTCCTTTTATATTAAAATTTTATAGATGCCTTTAATTTTTACATTTCAGTTATTTCTGTAGATGCCCTACTACCCCCTCTACCACAAGTTAAGCATTCTCCCACAAGAGAAGCAATTTTACAAAACCAACTGACACAATGTGGTCGTTTTTTTTTTTTTGTAGCAGAAAATACATAACTTTATGGCTTCACAACTGACTGAGAAGTGTAGACACCTCAATCATTTCAGCTCATACTGAACGATAGGTAGTATGTAAAAAAGTAAATATGTTAAAATTATGTAGTTTTCCTGAAATTAATCCTTTAGAGTATCTTCTGTACTTATATCTTATGTCAATTCTTGGACTAAAGATATTTTAGGATGGTATAAACTGTAAACAAGCAATAAGTATGCCAGTCCCAAGCTGTGAACAAGATGTGTTCAGTTGGAACACAAAAAAGGAAATCCTAGTTTAAGAGAATGATAAGTAATGAAAACAAAAAAGCCTCAGTTACCACATGGAGTTTCATAATACTAATTTGCTAAAAGCATATTTTTAATATCGGGGCAAAGTAAAGATCATAATTGTATTGAGAAAGCATGTCCTAGTAGAGATTAATATTTGAATGCCCCCCAAATCTAAATCTTGATTTATATTCATATCTGAACTTTAGACAAACACTTTGCAATAATGAATATTAGTGTACTCAACACAGAAATGTCATCTGTTCTACAAAGTTAGCAGTTTAGAATTTTACTTCTCTACCCAATATCACCTAAGCAAAGTGATTTCGTCAGCACATCCAAATCAAATCTCAGCCTCATTTAAAGGTCATTTGGCAATCTGTGAAACATAAAGGATGGTAAGATGTTAGCATAAAAATTATAAACATAATGTCATAAAATTTCTTAAACCAATTTAGATCATAAGCAGTTTTGCCTAGTTATATGAATTGTTTCACAATTCTTCAAATAAACGTTTGGAATTTATTTCCAAATACATTTTTTTGTGTAATAATAAAAATCTTACCAATAGAGTGCATTCATTTAACAGAAGGGAAGGTACCAGCTCTGTAATTTTATTGGTACAGGGAACTCCCAGATTCATAAACTCCCTCTACCAATGCAACTTGGCAACTTCTCCTTCAATAAGGGCCACACAGCCATTTTTTTTTTCAGAGATGGAATTGAATTCCAGTTTTCTTGACTCCAAGTCTAGATAGCTATCCACTTTCTCACATATTAGCTAACAGATATTTTCTCTTGAATCATAGGCATTTGGACTATGCAAGAGTTTATCTTAGTATAATGTAAATTATTTATTATTCAGAAGAGATGCACAAATGCCTTTAGAAACTAATATCATTGTAAAGACAGAAATGTCTTTTTTCCTTAACAAAATTATAAAAAAATAAAAATGATCATCTAAATCAGGCCAGGTCTATATAAAGTCGAATTGGGGGTATTATTTTCAGTATGGGGACAAAAATTCAGGGTGCTCCCAAACACACTTTACCTTAATAATAAAAATGTACCATTTTGGAGACTATTTGGAGAGAAGCTTTCTAGAATGAATCTACTTAAGTGTTTAAATTTGCTCTTTCACAGAGCTGGTAATTCTCTACTTCATTTCATTTTACGTAAAACAGATATTTAGTCGAAGTGAACCAAACGGTGATCATAACCCTTCTCTTTATTTTTGGATGGGGCTCTTTTTAATAGGGTGCTGCAGAGAGTTGGTAGTAAGGAGATTGAGGCACTACATAATGACAAATGCGCCCACTACCATATATATTCTTCCACATAACAATGTAATTATGAACCAATAAATAGGTAACATCTTTTTAAGTAGGTTGCCTAGAGATTTATTGATTTTGGTCCTTTTTTTAGGAATCAGCTTTTTAGTTTTATAGATCTAAGTGACATTTCTATACAAGCAAAAACTGTTCTAGAATGTTTTGGATTGACTGATTAGAACAATTAAGTATAAAAGATGGCAATGATAAAGACTTGGAAAAAATGCTAAAGGTATGACTAAATGGGCAGCACTCTAGCACCTTAATTTTCTATATTAGACACACTTGTAGCCAATGAATCAATAAAAATTTTAAAATGCCTATTATGCGCCAGGCACTGTGCTAAGCTCTTTCTCTAAAGTAACACCATAAAAATGAGAAATGTCAGTGAAAATATTTATTACTTCATAGAAAAATGTGGCTTAATAATATGAATTTAATCAATGTCTCAGATGTGTAAAGGAGGTGTGGATTAGTGCTCCTTTTCCCTCACTTAATTTAATTATCAGCTAAGATGATAGCAAAGTATACTGATTAGAGCGCTCTCCTTGGAGTTAGGAAGATGGGTTCAAGTGCTGCCTTTGACACATGCTGCTTTGTGATAATTGTCAACTCACTTTGTCTCTTGGTTACAGAAAAGGTGCTAATACAAAATCACAGAAACATGTCCTCCCACCCCCAAATAGGATGCCCTCAGATAATAACAATTATTGCAATAATAATAATAGCATGAATTTAGTATTTTAATGTTTGTAAAGAGTTTTACATTTAATTTTGCATTTTTCATTTAATACTGATGACAACCTTATTGTTATCATCATCATCATCATCATCATTTTGCAGATAAAGAAGCTAAGGCAGATTGAAATTGTGACTTACTTAGGGGTACACAGCTAAAGAAGTATCCAAGGTGGGATTTGAATTCAAGATTTCCCCATTCCAGGTATAACCCTCTATCCACTGTACAGCCTAGCACAGCCTTCAGATGCTTTCAGGAAAGCCACGTCTACCTAGAGGGGAAGTTTCACAAGACAAACACCAACCACAACAATAAGCATTTATTAAGCACCTACTATATGCCAGACATTGTGCTGGGTTCTAGGGAAACAAATACAAAAAATGAAATAAGGAGCTTATATTCTAATGGAGATAAATATATATGCACATTTTTGTTAATTTTAGGGTTATATATATTCAAAAAATGGAGTCCTGTACATACTATATGTGCACAGGTGTATAATTAACTTCTCTAAAGAATCAAAGACAGTAATTGATTCCAAGTCTTCCTGTTTTACATACAAAATTCATACTAGGTGGTAGCTTATTCTACATGTGCATATTTATATACATATAACACACATGTTTCTATATACAAACATAATATTCACATGTGTGTAAAATCCACACCTTCACTTTTAAAGATATTTATCTTTGTACATATGTTAATATGCTGTATTGATCTGAATATAGGCAGACCTTGTATGCATGCTAAAAAATAACAAGTATGGGCTGGATTTTATATAAGCCAGATTTTCAGAGGAGTGTGACCTATTCACCACCACCAATATAGTATCTCTATATTTCATCATAGCCAAATATAACATAAAGCTGTTCTCCAAAAGTATTTTCCAATAACCACACAGCTGCCTAACCTAGGTTATAAAAAAGCAACTCAATGTCCTCAGTGAATTCTTTGGATTCTTTATACTTAGGCTGTGAAGATTGAGTGACAAACATTATTGCACAGTTATATACCTCTTAAACAGTGAAAAAAAAATCTATTGCCTTTCTAAAATATTAGTATTTAAATATGTAA